AGAAAAGCAGCTGTAGACTGTGGGAAACACAACTCTGAGGAGTGATGTTTGTGTATGGGAACGGGCTTCGGGAGATGAGTAGGAGGTTACTGGGTGACTGGAGTGAGCGCCACCTGGATGAACCATGTCTGGCAAGGAGAACCACCTGCATGTGTCTTCCTGTTGCAATGGAAGTTTCTGCAAGGGAAGAACATTCTCTTGGGACCCTTTTCTTTCCTCCCCTCTTCCTGTTCCTCAACTCACTTAGGGCCTTTCAGCCTTGGGAGGGTGCAGAGGGAGGCAGGGCAGGGTAGGGCTTACTGTATCTCATTAGCTGACACCCTCTTTTTTATATTCTTTGAGTCTCTGGGGAGTTGGGAGTTTGAGATGCTGGGAATGGGTGTAGGAGTCAGGAAAGTTTTACAAGAGCAAGTCTTGGCCTGGAGGCTGTCCAGCTGTAACATGGGACCTGTGGCTCAGGCAGAGGGCAGAGTTTGCATCCGAATGCCTGTGACTTCCCAGCCTCCTTTCCCCAAATCTCACTGGGGGCTGGCTATTCTAGCTCAGAAAAGGAGCACCTCTCTTTCTGTAGTCCTCTGCCCCTTGGCTGGGGTCAGGCCTCTGGTCTCTTTCAGCTGGGCCCTTGCAGAGGTCCAGGCTAGGCCTGTGCATCTACATGTTCAGGTAGACTTGTGAAACTCATGGGGAATGGTGAAATGCAAACACATTACCTTTCATACAGTTTACCTAAGGAGTGAAATAAGCACAGGACAACATAGGGCACCTAATAAGCTTGGAAAGAGTCCCTGTTTGATGGCCCCGCCTGGTACTATTAGTAGTGCCCAGTGCTGTCCACCAGAAATTTATGACAGCCACATGCATATATGATACAAAATTTTCCTACAGCCACATTGAAGAAGGAAAAAGAAATAGGCAGGATTTATGTCAACAATTTGTATGATTTAACCCACTATATTTCAAATGGGCAAAAATCCACTTTGTATTTTACACTGAGGGCATATATGAATTGAAACTGGAAACACTTTTAAGTGCTTACTAGCCACGTGTGCCTGGTGATTATAGTTTTGGACAAGCAGACCTAGCTTAGAGATAGAGAAATTGAGACTTGGAGTGAGAGGCAACAGAGGTCCTGGGGAGGCTGCCTGATTGTGCCCTCTAGTGTCCACCTGGCTGCACTGCAGCCTATGAGGCTCGAAGTGTATCTTCCTGCTACACTTGTCTCTTCTGCAGAGAACTGCACTGGAAGCCAAGGCTGTGGGCCCCTTGAGTTTCATCTGCTTATCTGGAGGAAAGTGGGATACAGGTCCAAGATGTTTTGGAAGCAGCAGCCAGGCCCAGGACAAGGTCTCAGCCCTAGGTAGAACATTTGTCTGTGGGTCACCCATAAGATCAGAGTCTTGGTTGTTTTCTACCTGCCTCTTCTGCCTCCCAGCTGACATGGAACAGATATCTCTCCCATGCCTTCTTGAAACTCAAATTCACAGGAAACCAAACAGCCTCTTCCTGAGCCTTAGACTTGATAAGGACTTAGTGCTCACCCCTCCTACCAGCTTCCCTCTTGTGTCTGTGTCCAGAAGCCCAAGAGCTTTGGAGATCTGACTGATGGGAGCACTTTTGAGCAATGGAATGAAGTGCCACTCATGCTTCCAGCCAGCACTGAGCTCTGGTTAATGGGACATTGCAGCACTAAGTTCCCAAGGGCCTCGCTGAGCAGCCCAAAGAACTATGCCATTAGCAAGGCTTTTATTTGCCAGCAGTACCGAGTTTGGGTTAAATATTTTTATAGAGCTCCCCAGACACATGTTTACTTTTTCTTTACTTTACAATTTAGCATGTTAAGAACAGAAAAAGAGTAACAGAGACCAAGGGAAGGAGTATAAAAGCTGGTTAGCTCCATCCCCGTTCCCATTATCAGGAAGTCACATGTCCTGGATGCTCTCAGAAGGCTGTTGTCTGTCTGATCTAAGCACTTCTGGAATATGAAGTGTTTTAAACCAACTAGGAGGTGGCTGTGCCCTCCCTGGGGACCCCTGTGTCTCACCCCCTGGCATCCTGGAGATGAAAGCAAGGTTTTCCAATCGATGACGCCTAGGTTTGTCTGATAACCAGGTCCAGGTGGACGTTTCTGCTGGGGAGTGTGAATGGTGGTTTTCTGTTCCAGAAGAAAGCCTTGATATTGTCAGGTTTCTTCCCAGACAGCCAAGCCATCAGTAAGATTGGCTCAGTTGCTTAATAAATAACAGAGGGGTCACAGGGTATGTGGCACTGAGCCCATCCCCACCATCCCTGGCTGCTGCCGCCTAAGAGCCTCCAGGAGAGCTAAAATGAGGTTTTTTGTATTAAATATTTTATCCAAGCCTTTGTTAGGCACCAGTGAATGAGTGCGGGGCGGGGGCGGTGAGGCTGCTGGCTGTGTCTGGCATTTGTGCATTTGTGGGCTCCATTTAACAGTTTCATGAAAGTGACAGTGGGAAGGCCATCTTGTGACAGGGCCATGACAGCCACTTATTGATCAGGAGCTGCAGTAAATACCAACTGAGAGCACCTTGGAGCACTTGCCACTCAGGATCTTAGCAGAAGAGGCCCAGGAGAGAGCACAGCCCACAGGGTGGAGCCTGGCTCTGCCCTCAGCCATACCTGTCCACAGCCTGCCCCGCTGCAGACAAGCACCTGCCTCACCAGAGCCTCTGTCTACCCTAAGACAGGATGACTCTGCCACATCCCAGCTGAACCAAGCAAGACCCCTTTCCCAGTCTTGGAATCTCTGCCCAGTCCTCCCTGGAGCCAAAGGCAACCTTCATTCTTCTCCCTGGCCTCCAGTTTGACTCCAAATGCAATCTTCCTAGGCAAACTACCTAGTCCCCCTGCCTAGGAATGTGCCACTGCAGCACTGGAGAACAGGGGCTGTGCCCTAGCTTGACTCAGGATTCTGCATTATAAGAGCCTAGCAGACTGGAAAATGCTGGATCCAGGCCCTGATCACCTGCTGAAGTTTGGGCTTCTCAGGGGAGCTACCTCCCAAACTAATGGTGTGGATGAGTCTTGGAGGCACAGGCTTTGACGGGCTGAGAAGGAAGCTGGGGAGATAGGTGAGAGGGGAGGAAATTGCAGAGAGTCTCCCTTCACGCACCCTTCTGGAGGTCTTTCAGCTAGCTTGCTTTGTACCTGTTGTTCCTCTGCCCCAACTTTCCACATGGAATCCAACCCCCTCTGGAGACAGAAGGAGCATCACTGTCACTGAATTGCACTAAGCTGAGACTAAATCTCCCCCATTACTCACAGCTGGCTGATTGCTGGATAGCTATGAATCTCAGCAGCACATAGCACCATAGAGGTGTGTTTCCCTACCCAGATACAGTGAGACATGGCAGAGTGGGAGGTGTGTTTGCCTATCCAGGTATAGTGGGACATGCAGGGCAAGGAGGACTTTATTCCATGCAACCCCTCCAAGGCTGGGGTTTCTTCCTTTTAATGGGCCTTCCATCTAGCACCCTTCTCAACTGGGTTTTCAAAAAAGGGTCAAGTCTTGGTTTCCTAAGGTATTCATGGTACACAATGGGTGACTTCCCTCTTGTGCTCTGAGATGGTACATGTACTAGTCATGCACCATCCTAAGGAGCATTGCGATAAGCACTCCAGTTTTCTGCTGTGGAATGAGGGAGCTTGGATGACAAAGGGGGTCTGCACCCTCTGGGACCTTTGAGCCCTCCTCTAGACACCACATCCAGCTGGAGACGGGAAGAAATATAGAACATGGCCCACCTGAGATTGCTAAGGGTTAGGTGGAACTGTGGGCTCCCATTCATGCCCCATTGGCCAGTTGTAGCCACATGGCACTCACCTGTCTGCAAGGGAAGCTGGGAAATGTAGTTCAGCAGTGTGCACAGGAAGAAAAGGAACCAGGGTAAGAGGAACAGGTAATCTTAGCTCAGGCTATTGTTTCCTCACTATGCAGGTGGCCCCAACTTGTGATGGTTCAACCTAAGATTTTTTCAATTAAAAAAAAAATTTATTTAGGGGGCTGGAGAGATGGCTCTGCAGTTAAGAACACTGGTGGTTCTTGCGGAAGACCGGGGTTCGAATCCTAGCACCCACATGGCAGCTAACAACTGTCTGTAACTCCAGTCCCAGGGGATCTGACAGCCTCTTCTGACCTCTGTGGGCAGAGGTCAACCTGGCGATAATGAGGGAAAGGCACCAAAATGCCAGAACACAGTGTGGCTGAGCTATGATGTTGGTTGGGGTAAGACAGTCAATGCACTCTTAACTGATGATATCTTCAACTTACGGTGAATATAAGACATAGTTGTATCATAAGTACAGGAGCACCTGTGCTTTTAAATCATAGCCCCAGGGCAAAGCTAGGTCCTGAGGTCCAGAGTCCTTCCTTTTCCCCCCTCTGCATCCCATGGACCCTCAAAGCCTCAGGAATGCCCTTGAGACACAGCTTAGAGGTTCCTGGGTAGTGTCTGTCTGTCTCCCTGTCTCCCTCTCTGATGCTTAAGCTCTACTTTGCATCCAAAGAGGGTCACCTAGTCTCTACTGGTATGCTAGCTTTGTCAAAGACCTTCCTGTCCCCAAAGTTAGTGAAGCCTGAAAGCAGGGTATGTGTGTGTATGTGTGCCTTTGTGTATGCATGCACACAGTAACCACAACAGCAAGAATGCCCTAAACCAACACAAAACACCGAATTTTTCTGGCAACCTGACACCAGGGAGAAGGCAAAGGGCAGGCAGAGGCAGTTCTGCAGTCAGGAACTGCTGCCTCTAGGACACTTGGAAAGGAGCTGGGAAGGCAGGGAAAATCCCAAGGTTTTCTGCATGGCAGCTCTCTAACCCTGAGCTTCCTCACTGCACACATCTGCTGAGTGGGTATGAGGAGTTTGGTATTTCAATAGCATCCCTAGGAACATAAATCATGGGCACAGCAGCCATGTGTACTTGGTGTGAGGTGAGAGGATGCTGATGGGCAAGTAGAACCATCACCAAGGGGCTACTGCGATGAGGTGGAGTGGAGAGCTGCCAGTCAGGTTGGCAGACAAGCCACTGGCCCACAGAACCAGTCTGGCTTCGGTGCGATCCTCTCCTGGTCCTTCCTCCCCTCTGGCCACCCACAGCCAGGAGACCTCAGGTTCAGTCCTGGCCTCACCTCTGAAAGGTTTTGCAGCTCTCCAAGGGTCAGTTTCCTTCTTAGTAGAGTGCAGCTGATATGTGAAGATTTTAAGTGAGACACTGTAAGGTTTTGAAAAAGAATGGATGAGGGCTAAAGGTCCTATACTGCACAGTGCTAGGTGTAGGACCTCCTTTCTTTTTATTTAGGAGCACAGGTTATTTGTACAGGTGGGGATGTATGTAGATAAGTAGATGTGTGGTTTTGAAAGGCAATGTCAAGCTACCTTATTTTGGGAATAGAGAGGGAATTGTAAGTATAACATAGTCATACAGATAAGTAAAAACAAAAATACATATGTAGAAAATTATGGTCAAGCATGGTGGTGTAGATCTTTAATCCCAGCAGTTGGGAGGCTGAGGCAGGTGTATCTCTGAGCTCAAGGTCAACCTGGTCTACATATTGAGTTCTAGGCTAGCCAGGGCTAAGCAGTGAGACCCTACTGCAAAAAACAAACAAAAAAAAAAAGAAAAAAGAAAAAAAAGAAAAATACTAAGGACTTGGGAAGAAGGCAGAGAAGGAAGAAATGGTGAGCAATACTGAAGAGCACATCTCGTCTTCTGTGACAGGATCCAGCGCCTACTGGAATTGGAATTCATGAGTCTAGAAGTAGTTCAGAGCGGTTTCCTCTGGGATTTGAGTATGGGACACCCCCCGCCCCACCCAACTGTATGCTTCAAAAAGGATTGAGCCTTACACATGTGTTACTGCTAACGTAGGAAAACAAAATTGAGGCAGTGAAGTAAAAGTGAGATTATTATGTCCTGTGGCAAATCACTCCAGGAGCTCACACACAGGCCTTGGGGGAGATTGCAAGTGGGGTGTGCTTTCGAATGGAGCACAGTCCTTCATTCTCACAGGGCCCGTTAATATTCAGGTCTAGATCCTCCCTCGCCAGAGCAATATCTCAAAAGAACAATAAAGAACAGGGACTTCCTAAAGGTTTCCAGGGACCTCTTTCCCAAGGATAAACACTTTTCTCAGTTGATTATGAGGGCCTGAAGTGAGAGGCTTCAAAGCTTTTTGTTTGTTTTTTGTTTTTTGTGGGGTTTTTTTTGAAACAGGGTCTCACCATGTCCTGGAACTTGCTGTGTAAACCAGCCTGGTACAGAGATCTGCCTGCCTCTATTTCTATTTCTTGAGTGCTGGGATTAAAGGTGTGCATCATCACAGCCAGCCAAAGCTTTCTTAATAATGTCTGGGTCCCCATGAAACCCTACTATTTGCAGGTTTACAAGGAAATTTGGGTAGGAATGGGGTTGATGACCATTATCATTTATAAAATGAGGAGTGCTGATAAAAGGAGTAAAGCTTTGAAAGGCTCAAGACCTTCACCTGTTCATGGTCATCATTAATTGCTCTGAATATACTCAAGGTGAACCACCAGTTGGCCTATAAATTTAAGCAAACTGCGTTAGATGGGAACATGGAACATCACTTGTCTAAGTACCATTTATTTTATGGTATCAATAAACATATCTGTGGGGGCTGGAGAGATGGTTCAATGATTAAGAGCACTGGCTGCTCTTCCAGAGGACCCGATTTGGTTCCCAACACTCAAACAGTTGCTAGCAACCATCCATAACTCCAGTTCCAGGGGTTCTGACACCCTCTTCCAGCCTTTGTGGACATTGCACACATGTGGTGCATTTATATGCAGGCAAAACACTCATACACATAAAATAAAAACATAATAAAATAAATGTATCTGTGACATGAAAAAACAAAACAAAACATATCATGGTGCCCAAAAGAGAACTACTCAGAACAAAGGGTCTGGATTGGGTCCATGTGGCCTGTCTGCCCCCAGATGATGAACTGAGGCTTTATCTTAATCCTGCATTTTGTATAACCCTGCATTTTGTATAACAGGCATTTGACATGCTCCACTCCACCAATTTTAACTTGCCTTTCCCCCCATCTTTTCCCAATTCTGCATGCTTCAAGTTAGACTGTGTCTTGACATATAAGGGTAGTCTGTCTTTCTAGTTGGAACATTCTGAACTTTTCCATGTGTAGAACTACAGTGTGCCCTCCAACAAGGGTCATCTGAGACATCAGAGCTTGCACAATTATGGTCTTGTTTGTCCAGCCCATGGCACTAGACACATGGGATGTCGATTAGCCAGCTTGGTGGTAGAGGTGACAGGAAGCCAGACCTTGGGTCCCCAGGTGTCCATAGCGGACCTCATGTCTTGCAGGTATAGTGTCCACTGCCAACCACCATGGGCAAACAAAACAGCAAACTGAGGCCTGAGGTGCTGCAGGACCTGCGGGAGAACACTGAGTTCACCGACCACGAGCTGCAGGAGTGGTACAAGGGCTTCCTTAAGGACTGTCCTACTGGCCACCTGACCGTAGATGAGTTCAAGAAGATCTATGCCAACTTCTTCCCCTATGGCGATGCCTCCAAGTTCGCTGAGCATGTCTTCCGCACCTTTGACACCAATGGTGATGGCACCATCGATTTCCGGGAGTTCATTATTGCACTGAGTGTGACCTCTCGGGGAAAGCTGGAACAAAAGCTCAAGTGGGCCTTCAGCATGTATGACCTGGACGGCAACGGTTACATCAGCCGCAGTGAGATGCTGGAGATTGTACAGGTACTGGCACTCTGGGGCAGGCTGGGTACAGAGAGCCAGGACCACGGTGGCGGGGGGGGGACGACACTGCAGGTCAGAACCCCACTGAAACTCACCAGGTCCCCATACCCAGTCTTGTGCTCATCATACCATGACATCTGGTGGGTTCTTTATCTATCCGCTTGCTACTAGGTACCCTATTGAAAGGGATCAGCTGTTACCTGACTCTGCAGGTCCTCACAAAGAATGATAGAAGCCAAGCTTTTATTGATCACTTATTAGACACCTAGCCCTAACTGAGCCCATTCATCAGTTTCCAGCCCCACAACTCTATGAAATAGTCATTTTCTGAGATCTGAGGCTCAGATATGTGATTTCTTTAAGAATTACTAGAACTAGAGGGCTGGAGAGATGGTTCAAGGGTTAAGAGCACTGGCTGCTCTTGCAGAGGACCTGAGTTCAATTCCCAGCATCCATGTGATAACTAACAACTGTCCATAATTCCAGTTTCAGGGGATCTGACGACCTCTTCTGGCCTTTGTGGATGTTGCGTGCATGTGCGGCATTTATATACATGCAGACAAAACACTCATACACATAAAACTAAATATAGCTTTTAGCTATATACATGGACTCTTAAAGAATTATATTGATCCCTTTAATCTTTGGTTATATTTTCATTTTCTATGTTTAGGACCATACAGTTGGCCCAGACAAACCAATTTATTTTTACTCTTAAGGTCATTTGACAATCTGTTCCTCAGGGGTCACATGGGCTTGGGAGGAGCCTCTGGTTCCTTTTTTTTTAAAAAAAAAAATCTACCAGTTCCAGCTATGTGAAGATAAGTCAAAGGTCCTGCTTGATTATGGCTGGGTTTACTTGGAAGCATGAAGGAAATGTTTCCTCTGTGTTGACCCTCCTCTTTGTAGACTGGACACTGGTTCAAGTCCATTTGGTGAGGTCTCCATGGGCTTCCTTGATCAAGAGGACAGGTGACACACCACAGTTACAGGACATTTTGAGAAATGCTCATAGTCCCCTGGAGCTTAGTCGACCTAGGAGGGCAAGGAGAAAACACTGTCTTTTATGTCCCTCAAAGTATGGGCCTCAAAGTATGGCTGTTAGACATCCAAGAAGGTTAGTTCTACCACTCTGGTACTTTTAATTACCATGTGCTATGACAGGAGATACCTTCCTTTGAGTTGTTGGCCAGGGTGGCCCAAGAGACTCCCAGACAGTAACCCAGCATAGAACTGGGAAAATGAACTGCAGACCCCAATCTTATCTAAAACAATATTGGCAACTGATTGCTGCTAGATGAGGAAGAGCTGATCTTCCTAAAACAAGGAACTCTAGATAGGCTGACTAGATTTAGTGGATGGACAAGCACTGGAGAGCAGCGTGGGGGCACTGACAACACAGTGAACAGTAACAGGGATGACAGAGTATATGGACTCCAGTGGGGGGGTATGGGAGGGTGCCATTTGGGATGTGGGTATATAAATGAATAAGATTGTTTGGGATGTGCTGGATGAAATACACACAAAAAATAACAAATAAAAAAGTGAGTTCTATTTGAGGAAGAAGTGTACACATTTGCTCCATGTTAATTAGTGAGGTGAAACACATTACCATTGAAATCTACCTGATGATTTCATATCCATGCTCAGGTGGATCTCAGAAAGTAACCAACTGTGACTAGTAATAATCAGATCCATAAAGATTAGAGATGCACGTGCAAACATCTAAGTGTTAGTAGCATTAAAAATGAGTTTTCCTATATGAAACACTCTCTTTTAAAATGAAATGGAGATCTTTCTTGAAGGTTAAAACCTCATTCAATTTTATGTCTTATAGAGTTTATACTGAGTTCAATATTGTATAACTGTATTCAATCATGAACCTAAAAATTTATAGCCAATTTTGAAAGCGATGTATCTTTGCTCTGGAAATTGTTATGGAATGTGTTAATGCTGTAATGAAATGCTTCTTCTACTCATGTGATTATTAAATAATTTCTAAAAAATAAAAATAAATATTTTTTTTAAAGAATGATCAGAACTGGGACTGGGGAGATGGCTCAGAAAGTAAGAGCAGTTGCTGCACAAGCATGAGGATGTGAGTTCAGATCCCCAGCACCTACATAAAAGCCAGATGTAGTCACATACACCTGTAACACCAGCACTGGGGATAGAGACAAATTAATCCTGGAAGCTCACTGACCATCCAGCCTAGCTAAAATGGTGAGCTCTAGGTTCAGTGAGAGATTCCATCTACAGGGAATAAGGTGGAGAGTGTAGAGTGGGAGACCCACACACATGGCATATATATGCATAACATACACATACACAAATCTAAATCATCTCTAGATTACAGTGTAAATAGCTTTGTATTGTATTATTTAGGAATGATGAAAACAAGTGTGTTCCTTTGGTAAAGTTTCTTTTTCCTAAATATTTCCAATCTGCAATTTGTTGAACCTATAGATTCAGAGCCTACAGATACAGAAGGCCCACTATATATATCCCTGTGACCACCACCCCAGAAGATCCCTTAAGCAGCTTTTGGGCACTGTCCCACCCACCCCCCAGCCAGAGAGACCCCCTTTCCTGCCAGCATTAGTGTGCAGTTGTGGTTTTTTTTTAAGGTATGAGACTGTTTTACCTGCATATCTGCACCTGTGTGTGCAATGGTCGAAGAGGCCAGAAGAGGGTGTGGGATTCCATAGAACTGGAGTCATGAATAGTTGTTAGCCACCATGTGGATCCTGGGAACCAAACCTGTGTCTTCTGCAAGAGCAGTCAGTCAGTTCTCTTACACTGAGCCATCTCTCCAGACCCTCACGGTGCAGGTTTTTTGTGTGCTCTTGAACTTCATTTAAACTTATCAGCTTTCCTTCATTCAACATCCTATGAGATTTGTTCTGATGAAAGAAAGGTCCTGATCTAAGGGAGTGTCCTGACTTGCTGGTGCCTCTTGGTGGGCAGGGTTAGAGCCATCACCTATGTCCCATTCTCCTGAGCACACCTGCACATGCTCCTTTGCAGGCAATCTACAAGATGGTGTCCTCTGTGATGAAGATGCCTGAAGATGAGTCCACTCCAGAAAAACGAACAGACAAGATCTTCAGACAGATGGACACTAACAATGATGGTAGGAACATGGGGGTGGGGGCACTGTGTATGCATGTGAAACTGTTGGTGGCACAGATGTGTTTGGGATACTCCCTCTCTCTTTTGCAGCCCCAGGCCTTCCACAGTTGGCCCTGCCCCTTGCGTAGCCTGCCCTGCCTCTTCCCAGCCTACCTGGTTGATCTATGCTGAGGGAAGAGTAGAATTCGGGGTCAGGGACACCTGTCCTGCATCCCACTCTCTCCCTTTGGCTTTTAGGCCCATGGGCGTGTCATTGGCCCCACCAAGCTGTAGGCTCCATACTTATAAATGAAGGGGGTGGTCTCAATATCCCCATGGGTATATTTAGGCAAGGGAAGCAGATGTAATAATGACCTGGGATACAGTAGACTAAGGATGCTGGAATCCTGGGAAGCTGGCCAGGCCCCTCTTGCCATCACCCAGATGAGGCACCCCAGATGCCCAAGGGGGAACCATCAGCTTGGAAGGTTTATCTGCTTATAACCATGATGCTTGGGGTTCTGGGGTCCCATCATGCTGCAGAAAGGCAGGTCTCAGGAGGAGGAAAGGGAGGGACAGGTCCATGAGGACATGCTGCATGTTCTCTGTGAGGTTCTGATAGGACCCCAACAAGGACCAGGCAGCCATGGAATGTGTTGATTCTGCACATCCATTGCTGGTAGAGCCAGGCCTAATTTGCTTTTGTTCCACCAAGAAATGCAACATTAAGGAAAGAAAAGGCCTCCTGGGTTGTGCTGAGATTAAAAGTACACTAATGCACAAGAAAGTGCCTTACAGAGCCTCAAGTGCACTACGCAGGTGAGTTAAGGACGGAGCCCAGCAGGATTCTGGGTTCCCGTGGAACTGTAGACAGCAAAAAGCTTTTCAAACAGCAAGGAAAAGGTTTTCAAAACACATTCATACACAAAGCAAGACAATCTCTGACCAAAACCAACTCAGGGAAGAAAGGGTTTATTGCATCCTACTCTTCCAAGTGACAGTCCATCAATGAGGAAGCCAAGGCAGGAACTTAAGCTGGACAGGAACTTGGAGGAAGAGCTGAAATAGAGACCATGGAAAAATGTTGCTTACTGACTTGCTCCCCTGGTCTGTACTCAACCTGTTTTCTTATGCAACCCAGGACCACCTGCCCAAGGTGGCACCACCCACACTGGGCTGGGCCCTACCACATCACTCAACAATCAAGAAAATGTCTCATAGATATGCCCACGGGCCAGTCTGATAGAGGAAATCCCCCAACTGAGGTTCTTTCTTCCCAGGTGAAGCTAACTAACACAAGGTCATTCTTGGCTGTATAGCTAGGTCAAGACCAGCCTGGGACACATGAGACTATGTCCCCCGCCAAAAGAAAAAAAGGGGGAAAAGAAAACATATGGTCAGAAAACCTCACCACCCCCACTCGGCTTCTTGCTAGCTGGTATCATTAGACATACTTGGAAACTGCCCAGTGCTGGGCAAGGAGCAACAAAAGTACAAAAGATTTATATTTAAAGAAAGAAAGAAAGAAAGAAAGAAAGAAAGAAAGAAAGAAAGAAAGAAAGAAAGAAAGAAAGAAAGAAAGAAAGAAAGAAAGAAAAGAAAAGAAAAGAAAAGAAAAGACCTAGGAGGGCCAATGAGATGGCTTAGTGGGTAAAGGTGCCTGCCACCAAGCCCGATAACCTGAGTTCAATCCCTGGGGATCCACATGGTGAAAGGAGAGAACTGACACCTGAAAGATGTCCTCTGACCTCTACACGTGATGCACCTTGTAGCATTTGTGCCCACACACATACAACAATAAATAGATAAATAAATAAATAAATAAATAAATAAATAAATAAATAAATAAATAAATAAATAAAGACTGGAGAGATTGCTCAGCAGTTAAGAGCACTGGCTGGCTACTCTTGCAGAGGACCCAGGTACAAATTCCAGCACCCACATGATGGCTAATAGCCATCTGTAATTCCGGTTCTGGGGGATCCAATACCCTCTTCTGTCCTCCGTGGGCATTGCACAACTCAGGTGCACCTGCATACACGCACACAATACATTTATACACATAAAATAAAAATAAAGCAAAAAATTATTTTTAATGCTCTAGAAGTGAGTAGAGCCTGGACATTGTCCAGTTTCCAAAAGGCTCAAGACTTTGACCTGAGCATTGTTGCCAAACCCTTCTGAGGCACAAAGAACAAAGAGCACTGGCTAATCCCATTTCTCCTACTTCCATCCCATAGGCAAACTGTCCCTGGAAGAATTCATCAAAGGTGCCAAGAGTGACCCGTCCATTGTCCGGTTGCTGCAGTGTGACCCCAGCAGCGCTAGCCAGTTCTAAGCGGACAGGCCTCTGGACAGTTGCGGAGAAACACAGGCTTGTCTTGCCGTCTTCAGCTTTGCTTGCAAAAGTGAACGCTCCGCCATTGTTCCTGCTCTCCCTGGACCTGGCTCCAGGCAACACATCACATCTGCCTGGTCCAGCCAGCTGTGGCTCCCTCCTTCACCTGACAAATTCGATGTCCCCTCCTTCCATTCCAGCCCGATTCATTCCAAGGCAGCTCCCAGAGATGCAGTTCTCACCAAGGGTTCAAGTGTTCATGACTCCAGGGCTCCCTCCTGCGTACAGAGGGCCCAGAGGCCAATGTCCAGGATACCAGGCAAGACTTTCCAGTATCATACTGAGACCAGCTAATTTATTCTGTGATCTCAGGTGACTTTGTGGGATGGGTGGGGAAGAAAACAGATGGAGAGTAGACAGGCAAGCCCTTCCCATGCATGGCTCCACCTCCCTTGTTCATTTTCTCTGACCAAAGCCGCTTGCAC